GCTGTCACCTTCATGGAAGTTAGTTATTGTTGTTCATAAAAAATGTATTCACATGTGTTGCTTTTTACTGTTTATAAAAGCATTTATACAGACATCATTTTAATCTGATCTTTATACAATGAAATAATGTTATGAAGGCCGTACCTTAAATGACTGTAGCTATAACATTTGATGTCACAAAGTTCTCATAAGCGTCTCTTTAGATAGCAGTTAGACAGTAGACTAACAAATAATTCACTTGTTTTTCTCAAACAATAGATATATGTATTGTATTGAAAAGGAGGGATAGACTGGGAAATGTCCAAATGACCATTTGAAAATATATAGTTTGAACTGAACACATAGTCCAGCTACACATTGTTTACCATTTGGATAAAGTAACCAAACAGAGTGCATAACACGTGTCATAGAAGATGATAATCTACTGAAGAATACAAAATCTACAGGAAAAAGAACTGGTTAAATATTTGTGAAAGGGAACCACAGATTGCATTGCAGCTCCTGGGTTATTCCATAGAACTGCAGGCTAGATGGTCGTGCGTAGCCACTGTTGTGCTAGCTACTTTTCATGGGTACATCTGCATAATACGTTCAGCTGAACTGTACAGCTAAGCAAGGCTAATAAATTGGATCACAAGAAAAGAGTGATTAGATAGAAACTCTGTCCAATGACACATACAAAATCCCAGAATGAGCCATCCACAGTGCTAACCCAATGTTCTCAATTTCAGTTCGATTTTAAGTAGAATGACAAGGTTTTTTGAGAGTGAAGTGCTTTGGCTAAACGAAATGGCAGCAAGTCTATGATTGCAGAAGGGAGCATGGAGAATTCAGGCCTTTAAATCTGTGAGCAAATGTACTGAACATGTAAACTCCTAATTAAAGGAAGAATTTAAGAATTAGCTATCTGTCATAAAAGTAAATGATTAATCATTAATGGAAAATACGAAAAGAACAATAGTAAATAGTCCAGTCATTCTAAAATGTTGAACATATTACTGGAGTTTGAAATACTATATTTTTGAGAAGAAAAATGTTAAAATGTTTACTTTAGATTCACAGTCTTTTCCAACACATTTTGCTAAGTAGTGAGTTTGTATTTTTGAAGACCATAATATTACTCTGACCCCTCCTCTGGAACAAATAATCTTTTTTATAATTTACACATGTACTCAGGCCTATTTTTAAATGGAAATAGCTATAAACATAATAAGACTTTATGAGCTTTCCTAGGTGCAGAGTAAATAGACGGAGGTTTTTTTCCAAAGCACAGAGTGTACTTACCCAGCTCTCGTGATGTCTATAGCAATTTGCTGACAAACTTTCTTTTGTGTCTTTGCTTACTATACCAGCTCTGAGAAGCAATCTGAAACAATACATAGGTATTTCCTAATATTGCTAAACTGTAGCAGAATATATTAAAATAAAAGATACCTTCTATGGTCCATTTGCAGACAACATTCCATGTACATCACACTCCTTTCCTTTGTCTTTCCTTTTTATAGCTGTATATGCTGCCACTGTAGGACTACTGGAGGTAGTGCACATATTTAATTAGTTTATGTTGTATCTGATACACCATTCCTGGACAATAAATAAATTGCTATTACTTTGAAATATCTACTAATCTCTGTCGAAATGTTGCTGCCCAGAAATCCGAATGTTGTATTTTTTAATCACTAAGAAGATTTTTATATGGCAAAAATCTGTTGCTACCTTTGTAAGTACTTCTAAGTACAAGAAGATCAGCTGTTTTCAATAATGCTCTTGGACAAGAGGCAACAGGTTCAGTTTCCTTAGAATAGTATAAAATATATATTTCCTTTGGGAGGAAACATATGAAAGTAATTTTTCCTCTCTAATCTATTTTGCGAGGTACACTGTAGTGCAATTCTATTTCAGCAAATGTTAAAACAGCTTTTTTATTATTATTATTATTTTGGGAAGAAAAAGACGTATTTTTACTCTACTGAAATTGCTTATGAAGAAAACGTCTTGAGTATGGGGGAATGTATCAAGTTATTTCTGTGCCCTTGTCATAGAACAGTTTTTAGCAGACACTATTCATCAACAGAAATTTGGGGATATTTATGCAAAACATGACAAGATTATGTGTTTATTCAGGATTTCCTTCTGCCTTCTTTAAAAGCCTTCAGAATATATGTAGATTTGGGACTTTGAATTCTGATCAAGAGATTTTGTAAATTTCTTTAAGAATAATGCCAAATTGGTGAGTGATGTTTAAATCACAGATGTCAGCAACGAAATACATAAATCTCTGATTAGTTTATCTTGGCACAAACTGTGTCCTCTACTCAGTTCTACTGAGTAATAAATTGCACAGTGAAATTTCGTTCAAGGACCAACCTGAGATAGAATAAAATCCTAAAGGTTTTATACTTACCCATTAATTGATAACAATGTACTAACCTTCAGATATCTTAGTCCTGTAGTTCTTATATTGGGGGACTGAATTTGATTTTTTAAATTCAGCCTTCTTTAAATGTCAGTGGATGTGAGTGTCATACCCAATTTCTGCCTGGAACTGCTTTCTCTCATGAAAATACTAACAGGTTTGGTTTTATTTGCTCTAATCCCTATGCAAAGATGTTAAGGAGGATTAGGTTATTCTTGGGTGAAATATAATTTTATTGTATTTTTAGAAATGTTATATAAAAACCTTTCATGAGCTACCTGACTTAAACAGTATGACTGTCAAAACTTTCTAAGTATGCTCATGAAGTAAGCCTGATGGACTTTTAGTTTGTGGTATATAGTGTATTTGCAGTACATTGCAAATATAAGAATTAATGGGTTAGTGGGTTCTGTACTAAATACATTTTTAGCATAAAATTTTCATTGCACTTTAATCCATGAGAATTTTGCTATTCACGTGATTTGTTTGTGGAATTGGTGGTATGCTTTCACCCGTTCTGATGCATGAGAGCTTGACTCAGATAATGACAAAAGCAATTTGTCATCATTTTTGTCCCTCATGATCTCAGATGCATGAAAGCTATTTTAATTGTTCTTTGCATTTGTAGTACAACTTCTGGTACATATGTGTGAAACAAAGAGGGAACAAATGGGAGTTATCTAGCTTGCCAAGGGAATGTAGACACATATTTTTTATTCTTCAGTATCCCACTTAGTTCTAAAGATAAGATTTAAGGTTTTTTAGTTTATTTCCACAAGAACCTTGTTGATTTGGGTGCTTCATGAAAGAACATTATTTTCCTTCATTTCTGTTTTTGACAAGCCAGATTTTTTTTTTGAGAATAATTTCTTGTTAATGAAATAGCAACAGACTAAGAAATTCTACAAGACCCCATTGCATTATTAACAAAGCTTTATTAATACCCTAGCAGATGTATACCTTGCATAGCAGCTCCATTACAATTTTCTGCAAGAAAAAAACCTTCTCAAGCTAAGGATTCAGTTCCATTTACAGGGAAAGTGTATTCAAAAGTAAAATTCCATATGAAAGAGTTACAAACTATACATAATAAAGAACATTAAAAGGAGAATTCTTATATATATGAAATTGAAACAAGCTCTTTACTTCGTGGAGGATTTCTCAATGGATATGATATATTCATGCTATGAAAAGATCAAAAAATATAATATATAGTTGTATGAAAAAAAAGTACCTCTTCTTGTTATGGAGATACACCAGACTTCTGAGTGACAAAGTAAAGGAGGTATTTTAAGTTCATTGTTTAAAAGTCAGTATAGAAGACAAAGGGGGAAATCTACCACTCAGGTGTGCTCTTCAAAGCAGCAAAACAGCATTCATGCTTCTGTAAGAGATGAGATTGCTGGAAATACACTAAAAGAGCTCTCCAAGGGGTAAGACCTTCAAACTGGCCATTTTGATGAGTAGCCATTCCTGACAAAATTATCAAACAAACTAACCATATGGCCAGTCTGGAGTATGTGAAAAAATAGTAGTAAAGCAGCAGGATGCAGTTGGACTATATATTGTTACACTCAGAACAGGTGCTTCCACATTACCATTATGTAGTGACCCAGAACTAGTAATTGACAGCAATGCTAAAGCCAGAATTTGATAACAGCACTGCCTTTATCTTGTCTTGGAAAGGCTGAGCTATAGGGTAAAATCTTCTTAAAGGATATCCTGAAACTTAATCTCTGAATAGACAAAGATTGTTCTGCTTTATGTTTATTTGGCTATCAAATAAAAAAGGGCTCCTTCCCCCTTAATTTACATTTCTCTTTTCTTCTATCTATACACTTCAGTTTTGTTTTCTCATTTGTGCTCTGTTTGTGCTCTTTTTGCTTAGTCTTGCATCTGTCTTTTCTTTGCCTTTAAGGATTAAATAAAGCAGCCAAAAAGGGACAAGTCAAATAACTTTTCATATTCTCAAAACTTGTTTTTCCAAACAAGCTTGTGCAGACTTCTGAATTTGTGGATCAGAGCAACCAAACATCCTTCTATCAGGATACAAGTCCATCATAATAGAAGGCATTTGCCCTCATTTCAATCTAAACTTCTGCATAATAATTAGTTTTGCCTCTGCTCCATGCAAAGTGTGGACCTGTGTAAAGGTAATTATTTAATCTGAATTGAACAACTACATTTTGAGAGACAGTAGTTTGTATACATACTGCAAGACCATTATCTCTAAGTGGTTCCAATTTGTGTTAATCTGGTGATCCAGTTTAGACTTGCCACAAATTTCATGTCCTAGGAAGATACCAGATGAATTGGCCCAGGTTTCATTACAGCATCACTAAGGGCCTTCAGGTCAATGTAAACATTTGTTGAAATGTCTTGCTAACTTTGCTACTGGACTATGACTGTGTGCTTCCTATTGAATCCTTTCACAGTTGTGTGCCAAAAAGTGCCATGTGATCTGTTCAGCACTTCTACAATCTGCTGTTGTTATCTCTGTGACTGCCAGCTGCACTCATTTCAGTACTGAGCATTACGCCCTCCTTCTCTTTTACTTCACGTGCCATTCCAATTTAGGAAGATATACCTGTTACTATCTGCTATTCTTTTTTTTTTTAAAAAATGAATATAATACTCATCTTCTGTTGATCACGTTTTCCAGAAATGACAGGGTGTCTGAGATTCTCATGCAGTTTCCTTTTAGCATTCCCCAGTTATCACATCGTCTGATTTGCATTGCTGATTCTTTTTTGATGTTGAACCACATTCCACTGAAATTTCCTCCCTCAGATATTTCATTCTTATACTAAATCAGAATTACTCATATTCCTTATTGAATTATATTTAGCACAGTGATAAAGATAAGGAAATGTATGTAGCAATCATAATTGATTTTAGATTACCTGTATTACTGCAGATGGCCTCTACAGTTTTGAAGGGTTGTAGGAAATATTTTATTCCTCTACCATCTCCTTAAGTTGCCTACCTCTCCCCTTACTGCTATGTCTTCCCATTTCTGTTCCTTAGAAGTAGTTCCTTTCCCATCTCTCCGTTTCCCATGCGGTAGTCCTTTACAATTTTCACTGATGTGGGCCTCTTCATTTAAGCCTTCCCAGTTTTCCCCCCCAGCCCATGTTTTCTATAAAGGCCTGACTAAGGGGTTTACTATTCAAGGGCCTTCTTTATGCAGTTTATTTATTCTTTGCCTATTCTTCTCCTTCAGACCACTGTCTCTGGCCTTTGGCCACTCCTTTCTCACCCACAGTGAAGCCCTTGAAGTTGGGTGTGAAGAAGTAAATTTGTTCTACCTTAAGGAGTAATTTCATTTAACTTCCTTTTAGTGCTGCCTCTTAAGGTGGGTTTTAGATAGCTTTAACATGGTGGTGTGTTGTAATACTGCCTAATGTAATACGGAATACAATTCAGTAAATATATATGATACAGTTTCTTATAAATGTACCTAGAAAGTGACACAAATGGAATAGCACAGCACCATGACCTTCTGCTCAAAATTTTTAATTCTGTTCATAAAAGAAATCCATATGCAGTGTTACAGAGCTCTCAGGTCTTGTAAGTCAGATTGAAAACAAAACCGAATACAAGTTATATTGGAAAAGTTTAAATTAAATTGCCTACAGAAGCTATTTTGGGTGCCCAAGTTTGGATTCCATACAGAAGAAGCATGTGTGTGTTTTCTAATGCATGCTCTGTAACGCAGCTGCTGTTGTTTCTTGTCATTTGAAGTGAGGTTCAAATGTGCAGGCAGAAAAGCCTCACCAGCTTTGCAGAGAACAGAAAATGCTCCAAGATAGACAGCTGCCTGGGACTTCCATGAAATGCAATTGCCTGAGAAGATCAGCAGATAAAGTGAATGCAATTTCATTCGTACTGATTCTAAAGGCCGTTCACATTTGTACCTGTGGTCAAAAAGCTAACTTTGCTTTTATCTTACCACTCTGTCACTTCAGTCATGGAAAGGGACAACTGAGCTATTAAAAAAAAGCTAAGACTTGATTTGGGGTGAGTTCTTCCTCTTTAGAACCAAAATAGTGAGGAAGTAAAATAAAATTACTCAAAAAACAAGGGCAACAAGTAAGGAATTAATCAATTTTCCTTACTAGCAACCCATTATACATCACCAAGAAGAAAATAAAAGCAATGAGAAAAGGTCTAATGATATAGCTTATAAATTGCAGATTGCCTGTTTGTGAGACATAAAAATCGATTATAGTCTATAAAGTGTATAATGGTATCACTGAAGGTTTGGAAACACTGTCTGTCATTAGAATTCATGAGGGGATATATTAGCCTTTCCCTCTGTAAAGATTTTATGTTCATCATTTGACAACATGGAGACCAGGTAGCCTAGCTCAGCTAGTAAGTAATTCTGACATGAGGGTGAAGCTAGAGGAAGCTGAGGAGCTCCTTATGACAGAGCTTCCATTAGCTGTAACAGCGCTTTACCTAACATTTCCCATGGAAGCTGAGGATTTTCTTTTGTTCTGACTTTTCTGATTGTCAGAGAAAGATTGAAGGGAATCATCTATCTCTTAGCACAGAAAGCATAATAAAAACATGGGCTGAACTCTGTTTCTAACCTGAAGTAATTAAGTCAAGGTCCTTTGGCATCAGCTAATGAAGAAAGGAAGCATGGCAGAGCATTGCATGCCTAAACTCAGGAGAGAAGGAACACGTTTCTCCTTTTAACATTTGATCTTCTTTACTTTAACCTTTAATTACATCAGTGACTCTATCTATGAGAGGGGAATTAAAGCCTATTTTAAATTGTGAATTCTAAAACCTATTTCTCTGTAGGGATAAATAATTTATACAGTCTTGCAATCCAGCAATTTAATGAGCCCTTATGCATGTAAACAAAGTTATAGCTCTTCTTAGCTACTGCAGAGCTCTTCAGTGAACGTGGTGTGAAAAATGGTAGAAGTTGTGTACAGCTTCTGGGATCTTGCTTGGACTTAAAAAATAGTGATCCTGCAGTAATTGTTTTCAGAGACATTAAATTTCTGTTTGACCACTGTGATGGTCTGGAGCCACCAAATATGTGCATAGACCATGATCATCTAATGCTATTTCCTGTATAATACAGGCCAAACAATTTGATCTAGTAATTTCTTAAGGAAAGGAAATTCAAAGGAAAGTAGCTATCATATAAGTCCAAGAGTGCCTAGGGCATTTGCCCCAGTGCTCTGTTTTATGAATAAGTTATATATATATATAAAAATCTCTAAATTATACCTACATGTACAAGTGCATCTCATATCAAGACATACAAACATAAACAAAGACGAAAGGGACCTATTTTTCTTCTGGTTGAAAGCAAGCTGTATAAGCCTTTACATTTTTTACTTGAAGTTAAGTATTAGCTCCAGTTACAGACCATTGGAGAGAAGATTCTTTAAAACTTAGTGTATTCTTGAACATGTTGTTCTGAGAGTGTCATATGCATATTTGCACTTCATTGTGGTATTTGTGAGGACGACTTTTTCTGGAGCTAGACCTATTATCAAGGTGCCTGAAGTAATCTGTCTCTCCCAAAGATTGTTTTTTCAGTGGGCAGGCAGCAACAGATAGGATAGTGTGTGTACAAGCTGCAAAGCCTTGGCTCCATTTCTCATAGTCCTTACAGATTAATTCACAATAATGCATTTATTCCCTATTTCCCTGTAGTCATAAAACAAGAAAAAAAACCCACAAACCAACCAACCAACCAAACAAACAAAAAAACCCCCAAAACCAGAAAGATTCAAATAATTGGGAGCCTCCCATTTTGAAAATAATTTACATGTGTTCTAGCCTTATGCAATAAGTATGTTTAAGCCAGTGTCTTTAAAAATTAATGTCAGGACATTTTAGTTACCACTTGTGTTGATGGAAAAACTCCATGAGGGATACTGCATAGGTCTTGTTAACTATTGAATAGTGATCTCCTTTAGCATTTGTGATTTACACTGAAAGGCAAGATTTGAATGAAATATATATAAATGTGTGTTGCATTTTCACATGTATTTACTAAAGTTTCAAAATCAGTTGACCCTAAATAGATCTTTATGCCTATAATTTTCTGATTTATCTGTTAGCCAAATCATGGCTGCGTAATTTTTAATTGAAATTGGCAAGTAAAAAGGTAACCTTCTCCTCATGCAGCTATCAGAAAGTAGAAAAGAAACTTGATTTCCCTTCTTCAGAACATGTAGACTGATATTAAGCTATGACATGGCTGCCTTGTTTCAGCTGACTTAAATGAGGGATATAGCACCAAATGGCTTGGGCCCTGACAAGTCTCTGGGAGTCAGCATGTATTAAAGAAATGAGAACCTCACTGACCATTTCACATATAAGCCTGGGGCTGTAAGTTATATTACCTAAGAATGACATAACCATTAGTATATCTTTACATTCATTAGTTTTTCTGACCACTTTGGGACTGCCTCTTACTCATCTGCAAAGAAGTATCAGTCATTTCCTGCTTTTAAAAGCATTACAAGCACAGGTTATCATTTATAATTCATGTGGTATAGTTACAGAGACAGAGGTATCTACAGGACCTGAATGAATTAGTAGTTAATAAGAGGTAACAACTTGCTATTTTAGAAAGAATTTGGTATCTTTATGCCATTTTTGAGATTATTTTTATAGCTACATTGGCAGAGACTCTTAGCAATTTGTCTTTCATAACATTTTCTAACTGAAGGACTTGAGAAAGAAATAACCCTAAAAAGATATATCATACACTCAATCCTTTTTTCTTGAAATTAGTACAAAATTGTTTCTGTCATAGCAGAACATTTAGTGAGCTAAACCATGTTTAGACAAATAGCTGAAAGATGCTGAAGTAGTAAAAGGAAGAGTATAGTGAATGAGCACTGCTATTGTTATGCTACAGAAATATTAATCCATGGCCTCAATATCAGCATGTCTTGAATTAACATGACACTTTAGAAAATATCAATGTATTAAGGCTCTACTGAAAGAATTTATATTTAATTGTGTTCGTTGATCAAAAAACATAAACGTGAAATCTCTGTATTCTAATGATAATGGTTAGCTTTAGTGCTCTGTCTAGACCTGCTAAATGATACTAAGTGAATTACTGAATACAATGATGAGAAGTGATTCAAGTATTCTATTCTTAATATTAATTTTCTGAATGTCAGCAGAAGTTGTATAACCAATAGAGGAAGAAGTGCATAGGCATACACTCACACCTATCAGTAAATTATAACTTTGACTGCTCAGGAGTGTCAGGAATAGAGGGACAAGTGGCTACAGTGCCTTAACAAAGAGGAAGGCAGACAAAATGGCATTTCTTTTTAATGTGGTTAATTTCAATGCCTCCTTTTTATTACTGATGATATCCTTTGAAAACTGAACAAAATAATGAATTAGTTATGTAGAGATTAGGGATGTCATTCTCATGAAGAACTACTTTATGGGAAAATAAATTCAATGCCAGACATCTGGAAGGCAAAAAAAATATTCACTTATTAAAGTTATTTTTGTCAGTGGTGTTAAATGGCAACCAAAGAAGAGAATAGCTGCACTATACACACAAAAATTCCATATCCTTCTTCATTTTGAACATAAGCATATTTGTGTTTATCTCATTTCATCATAGTTTCATATAGTATGTAAAAAAAAAAAAAAAAAGGCATAACGATGCAAATGTGGCTGAGAACAAAAGTGAGAGGACTCAAGAACACAGCAGAAATATGCAAAAAATACTTGGAAAGGGGAAAAAAAAAGGAGTTCCATATGCCTAGAGAGCAAGAGCATGAAAGGAGAATTGTAAGATGATAAAAGGAAGTGTATGGACTTGTATGCAACAGAAGCTATAAAGAATATAATAAAAGAGTACTAAAACAAAACCATGTAAAAAAAGGAAAGTAATAAATAACGTTACAAATAATGGACAAGATTCTCAGCTGGATAAATAGATCTAGCTCCATTAATTTCAGTTTCAGCTATACTTACTGACTAGCAATTTCCCTATGGTAATTAACACAAATCATTGATTTGAAGTAGATATAGCTGAGCTTTATGAATCTCTGCAGTATCTAGGATGGGCCTGGCCTAGTGTTATATGTCTTCCCACAAGGTGCATTGATATTATCCTTAAATTAAAGTAGTCCCATAAGCCCGTGCTTCCACAAGCACAGATTTCCCTGGGAAGCAACATGCTTAGCAACACTGGTATCCATGGCAGTATCTACCACGTACTAGTCTAAATGTGGAAGCTCTTTCCCCTTTCACAGTTTTTTATGTCACTACAATCATGCTGCCTACCACCAGCTCCAGCCCTCATTCACAAGCTGAAGTTGGACCGTGTATAAACGCACAGGAGAGGTGGTCTGATGACTGCGCTTTCCCTCTGCAAAGACCCCACTGCCCATATTGCTGCTTCAGGATTGTGAGGCCAGCTGTGGGAAGGAAATGGCTGGTGACAGGCACAGAGACCCCTGCCACTCTCACAAACTGAAGTTCCCAGGCAACAACTAGCAAGACCATATTATACCCTGAATATGGGTTAACCTGGGTGCAGTGCTTTCAGAGATGAAGCCTCTGAAGCCCTGTGAAAAAAAAAGTCTTTGAAGCTCTATGCCAGAAAACTATGCACCATCTTTACCATGAACAACAGTGGTGTTTTGGGAGTATGACTGCACCATGTCTGCCTGCAGAGTGGAGGTGTAGTGTCCAGGTGTAATTTGGCCAGTTCTGCACCAGGCTGTGATGACTGAAGATGCTGTGTGTTGCAGAGCTTCTCTGGGAGCATGGGAGAGCCTTTTCATCAAGACAGCAACCATGAGGGCTGGATGCTGCAGCCTCTGTGGCACCAGGAGGTCTCCAGCATCCACAGCCAGTGCTTCCTGTCCATGGAGGCTGGCCGCATGTGTACTCCCAGCTGTGGGTTGTCTGGTGGTACTTAAGAAGACAAAATAACATAACTGTTTTATACAAAAATTAAGTATTTATGTTTTAAAATGGGAATATAATCACTCCTTTCTCTCTCAGTCCTTCTTCTCTTGTCAGGGGTGGTCACTGGCTCCTTTCCCCTTGGCAATGGCTTTTGACTCTTCTCCTCCTCCCCCGTGTCTATCCCTCAGCAGCTGTGCCCTCCCTTATCCCCCAAAGTCTCTCTTTTCAGCTTTGCCATCCCATCCATCCCACTTCAGCTGTTTCCCCATGTTCCCAGGACTCTGTTTTGGCTCCTGGTGCCTCTTCCCCACCCTCAGCAGCTGTCTAGCTCTGCCTCGCCAAGCCTCTGGCCCCAGCTGAATGGTGTATCCCTCTCCTTCCCTTCCCAGGCCTCTGCCTTCTGCCCTGGCTTGGAGCCAGGATGCTTTCTCCTCTGCCACTCCTTCAGAGCCGTCCTCTGCCTTCAGCTCCTTCCCTGGCCTCTGCTCATCTTCAGCAGCTGGCGCCTTCCTGTCCCTGTGCCTTTGGCTTTAGACCCTCCTGCCTGGCCTCTGCAGGCCGCCCTCATCCCCTTTCCCAGGCCCCATCCCGGGACTGTGCCGTGTGCCTGGAGCCCCATTTCTCAGCCCTCAGCAGCTGTTCCCTGGGCACCTGCCCTTGCGCTGCTCTCAGCCCCGTTCCTGCTCTCCCCGCTGCAGCAGCTGTTGCTCACTCCCCCAGGCCAGGACTCGAGGGGGGCCCTTCATCCCATGCCGCCTCTGCTCCCCGCTGGGCCGGAGGCCCATTCCCTCAGCTCTCAGCAGCTCTGTCCCCTTGCACCTTGCCTCTACATCCAGCTTCGGGCCCCTCTCCCCGCCTTTCCCTTCTCCCCATGACTGACAACATCAGTGCTGCTGGCAGGGGTGCCAGGCCTGGGAAATGGTGTGGCAGCGGGTCGCCTGAATTCCTCACTTCACACTTCATTACTGTGACAGCCCATCACAGCAGCGACAACCCAGTTGTCAGGATGGCCTCCAGAAACAACTGCAAGTAAGGGGACAAAGTGGTCCACAGCAGAATTGCTGTTAAATGGGAGGCCAGCACGACCTATAGGGAAAAATCTGTAATGCACAGTGGCCAGCACAGCCCTCAGGATTAAGAAGAGCAGAGGCACTATGCCCATATGGTGAAAAGAGCAGCCAGAACAGCTGTGGAGTAAGCCATGGTTCACTGCAATTGCTCCTCAGCAGGCAGGACCTTCCCAGGGTGGATAAATGGAAAACTGGCAACCATAAATTGGTGTTCCAGTTCTGGGCAGGAAGGAGGTCTACAGCAGCCACCTGTGCCATTTTGACGCCAGCACTGGCATGGCCTGCAGCATGCAGAGAGGGGAACGGGCTGTATGTGCACAGTTGTGAATGCTGCAGTGGGCGTTTTCTGCCTCACACTAAACAAACTGCTCATTACTGGACAAGGGACTGGGCTGTGAGAGAGTTGCTATGCAGAAGAGACTTACAGCAGCTCCCACCAACAAGAAGATGACATTAAAGATAGCAGTTGTCTCCTTTCTTGATCCACTTGTTTACCTAGTGAGCCATGTCATGTTTTTGCACCACCGTAAGCCATGAAAAAAGATGTCATGACCAGGATGCTAATTGGGGTATGGGACTGGTGCCTCAGTGTTCAGGGATGTCCTTCTGCTGAGTCATCAGAGAGGACCCCCGATTATGGCAGCAGCCTTGCACAGCTGCTGTCCTTCTCCCTCTGCTGCCCCAGGCACACCCTGTGATGGAGGAACCAGTTTTCCCTGGCTGGCAGTTCAGTCAGGTCCTCACTTCCAAAAGTGACATCAAAACCCAAATTAAGGGGGTCTGGACTGGCCTGGTAGTTAATATCTTAGACTTTCAGAAACTTCACCTTCATTTTTTTTAAACTTGAATAAGCACCACTCCATTTCCCCTCTCATGCCTAGCTAGGAGCACATGTCGTTCGAGGAGTGGCTGAGGGAACTGGGGGTGTTTAGTCTGGAGAAGAGGGTGAGGGGAGACCTTATCGCCCTCTACAGCTCCCTGAAAGGAGGTTGCAGAGAGCTGGGGATGAGTCTCTTTAACCAAGTAACAAGTGATACGACAAGAGGGAGTGGCTTCAGGTTGCACCAGGGAAGGTTTAGACTGGATATTAGGAAGCATTTCTTTCCAGAAGGGGTTGTTAGGCGTTGGAATGGGCTGCCCAGGGCATTATTTGAGTCCCCATCCCTGGAGGTGTTTAAGAGTAGGGTCAACATAGCACTGAGGGATATGGTGTTGTTGGGAACTGTCAGTGCTAGGTTAACGGTTGGACCAGATGATCTTCAAGGTCCTTTCCAATCTAGTTGATTCTGTGATTCTGTAAAGCCCCAACCTCTTTCCTCCACAGCCAGCTTAAATATAGGTGATTTATTTTGGAGCCACAGGCTTCTGCCTTAGAAATGTTGCTGGGAAGAGAGATACCTATTTTAAGTTTAAAGAAAAAAAAAAAAAGAAAATCAGTCTAGAAGAGGAAAAGAAATTAATAGGAATAGGAATGAAGGACCAGGTCTGGACCCAGACCTGGACCAGGTGTAAATATCTTGCAAAGGAGAGGGAGGTTAGTAAGGATAAGGCACCTTGAAGACCAGGAAGAGCTCTCAGATGTTTGTTGTGGGTCAGTTTGGAAGTGTAAGCAACACTGGTAAGGTAGTTTCAGTAACTGTTTTTTTGAAGAACATTACCTGAGGTGATTTGCCAATGTTGCTGAGCAGTTTTGAAGGGCATAAATATTAGGTTCTCTCTGCATGTAGGTTCAGCTTCCTGCTTTCCAATGTTGTGGGACATGAATTAGGGAGAGGCTTCTGCTTCAGCTTCATCCAGAAAGAAAACAGTTTCTCACACCATGATGCATTCAAGACCTAAACCAGAACATAATAAATATTTATGACTGGGGGACTCTCTGCAAATACTCAACCTAGTTCTGCTTTAAAATACTAATTTAGGTGTCTGTGGTGTGTGATTTAATTCAGTGAAACACTGGATCCTATCTCTAAAAGGAATGAAAGGAGTCAAAATCCATGTTAGAGCATTCAACTGATTTTTTTTTTATCCTTAGCTGTATTTGAGGCGGGGGGATATTGTGCTTTGTGTTTTTTCTTTCTGTGTGCATCTGCCTTTCATTAATTACTTCATTATCTAGATATACAAGAGATACCCTGTAGGTGAGAAAAAAAACCCTGCACTCCTATGCAGACCCATGTTTGTCACTCTGAAAAGCAATATCCTTCAGAGAATGCCATCTGATTCTGCTGCAATGCAGTGAGTGACTGACTGGGGTTAAAAGCCTTGCTCACAATTCCTGCTAGCTGGTCATTAATCTCCAGGAAAAGCCCCATGTCTTAATTGCTATTGTATAATTAGTAACCTCTTCCATCTAACCAGTGTTAAGCAGAAACAGTAATGTGCCAAGTCACCATCATTCTCTCTAAATGAGGATCTAGAAGAACTGCCCTAAACAGTATGTGACAGTGAAATTATTTTTTTTAAATACTCCTTTGAAAAATACTAAGACCAGCACCATCAGTGTTACATGGCCAACTCTGAAAACCCACAGAGCTGCCACAGATCACTGCAGCTTAAGTGGCTTAACAAAGTAGTCCCCAAAATTGAAAATGTAAAGATGAACAAAGTCTGTCAGGCTTCTTATATAACATATGTTGTAAAGGAGCCTAAAATACCAGTCAGTAACTATTTCTTGATTTAGAGAATATGGAGCTGAAAGTAAGAGAAGAAGGACTTTATTTTAATAATGCTGTGAACCTCGTGGCAGCCAAATATAACTAAGCTTGAAGAAATTGATGCATTTTTCTTAGTATCTATGGGCTAGATATTTGAATGTTTGACAATGGATTGATTGATAGCTCCGTATCAGTAGTAAAGAAAGTTTCCCTGCGGTATTTAGTATTTCTATCTGGAAAAAGTTTCTGTCCTGAGGAAAATGTATACTGTAAAATCAAAATTCAGATGAAGGAACACTGAAAATTTTGATTCTGGTAGCAATAAATTGTTGTCTATCAATAATTTTCAAGATTCATATTCTAGTAAATCAAAAATATGCAAAACATAATAGAAATTAGAAATAAATGAAAACCAAATTCAAATTAAGACAAACAGTATTTTTACACCATCTTTGTTTTTACAGAAATTCTCCTTTGGATGAAACTGCAATTTCTGAGAAAAAAATTCTTCTGAACATTTTTTTCCCCTCAAAATAATTAGCATTCAGCTAGTTGGATTCTTCTCTTCAGTGTGATTGTGAAAAGATTCTAGAAAACTGATAGAGCTAGCTGCCAGGCTGAATAATCAGCCATAAATAATAGTGAAATTATACACAGAAAATTCAGTGAATGTGTTTTCTTCTCTCTGACACAACTATAATTGTCAAAACAAAATTAATGCAATAGGGATGAGCATCTGTTTTGCTGTAAGTCAGTCTTTTTCCTGGTGTATTTTTCCAGGTTTTATGCTGGCACAGATGATTATAGGATCAGGCCCAAAGAATTACTTGGTGTGTGTGATTTTGTGTAGTGTTGAATATCTAGTTGAAGGCTTCTGTTCAAGAAAGGATCCATCTGAAGTTCTTTCTTTGCCTGCTTTTTGCCTGTGTTACATGGCAGGATTTCAAAAAATAAAACAAATCTTCTCAACTGTCTCTCCTTCTGAGAAGAGCTTGAAAAATTCAAATGAATCAGCAAGCGTTATTTAAGTAGTTCCTCATTTTATTCAAATGGAATATCATACGGCATACTTTATGCACTGTGAGTTAGTGGATTTTCATAAATGTTCATGTCCAAAATAGAGAGGTCAGAAGCTCTACTGCCCTCAGTGCACTGTCAGAAACTTTTTTTTAGTTATTTCATCTTCTACTTATTAAATCCTCTAGACAGAGGCATCTGAATCTTTAGCACTCAGTAATAATTCAAACATAATTCGCCTTTACTTTCATGCTTTGCAGAAGCTTCCTGGAGCTTAATACAGATTTTCCCTGTTCTGGCAGTCATTTCCAATAGTTCCTAGTATCCTTTTCTGAGTTTTACTTGTTCCTTATGGCCTAAAAAAAGTTAAGATTTTGTGCATTCTTTAAGTTCAGGAAGGCACTTTTCTAACTAGTTCCACTGAGCATAATAAAGCCCTGATCTCTGTGGAAACTTTAGCTGGAGTTTTAAAGTAATTATAAGGATGAGAGAGGACTCATTTTCTACAGCTAAGTTTCTACAGTTGCTTTCCCCATTCTCATCACCTTGAAAAACACATCTGAGGAGCAACACTGATACAAGTCCCAGGACAGCAAACAAATACTGTATTAGAGAGAAATATGATCTGTCTTTAAGCTCAATAAGTGTTTTATTAATGTTGTTCCCATCATTTTAAGTAACCCAAAAGTACTAATGGGAAACCAATGAGAAAAGAAGGGGCATTACAAAGAGAAAACAAAAGTGTTACAAGGCGGGCTCCAGGTTCAGGTTCTTTTAGATGATATTCCTTGGAATTCTTTAAAGTTTATACTGTATTGCTTTGATTGCTCTTAGCAACTTCAGATGAGCCTTAATATGTGTAATGTTATAATTTAGGCAGTGCAAATATAATGTAGGTGTGCATACAAAACCAAAATTCAGGCTCTGGGTTACAGCCATGTTATGGAGATTCATGTTACCATGGAAGTATTTTACTTCTACAAGCAAATTCAGGTGCTTTAGAATAATTTTAGAGATTTATTTACACAGTATTAAAACACAATAATATAAAATGTGGAAAATCAGTAAGTAAAATATACATTCTTTTTAAAATCTTAATCCCTTGTATATGTAATAATTTTCTTAATTTACTACTCTTTCCTAGATAAAAAATAGTTCTGCAATTAAACAAGTTTGCACCAAGACAAAACATCACCTTTCTAATCAACTTTTCAAATTACTTAAGGGGATAATTCTCAGACTATGTCCACAGCAAACTCTTCCAGGTGATAATGACATATTTCTATTTTATTCTGCTACTGTGGTAACACACTTGGCCAGATACCAAATACTAGAATTAAAGAATGCATTTCCAGGTATTTTTTTCATTAAACCAATAATCTTTCTTCATCTGTTGCAGCTGTTTCATATCTTCTGATTTTTCTTTAAGTTTTTATACATAATCTTTTGCACTATGAGTAAAAATTAGGTAGTAATCAGATTTTTTAACTATTAGGAGAAATAAAGAGTCTTGAACACTCATAAATTTCAGAAAGGTATTTTATGGTCAGGTCTAAATAAACAGAGAAGTTTATTTAATTAGAAATAATCTTGAATACAGATGCTTATTTCACCTTGGAGATAGAAAACTGCTATGATTGCTTCATATCTAGCCTACTTATTTGAATCAATGTATTTAAAGAGGTGAAAACCACTAGTGGATGAGGGAAGAAGGGTTGCGATAAAGGTGCCTGTGGATGAGAGCCTTAAGCAACAAGTTACCTGGGGAAGGGAAAAAGTAATTGATCATGTGCACCTATCTGCTTAACGTGTTTACACTTCTGGGTTTCTCCGTCCTCTATTCTGCTGAGTGTCATTAATGGATAAATTTTAAATTAAAGAGATGCAAATGGTTGGTGCAGTGAAGAACTGGCATTGAGGAGGAAAGCAAGGAATCTCTTGCAGGAATAGTATAAAGGTAAACCACTATAATTTGAGAATACAATAATTGGCAAATAGGCTAGTGTTTAGTAGCAGTGTTTTCAACTAGATCGCTTGAGGAATATTTTACTGCAAAGGTTATGAAAAAGGCTGAAGACCTGCATGGTCTAGGGCTGCAGCCTCCTTCCTTATCTTTGGAAAGGAAATCTGAAAATCACAAAGCGGTGAGTTTCACAGATCACTGCCTATCAAGAACCACAGAGTACAAAGAAAACAATGAAGTACTTCCTTGTAATTCTCCTAAGTGCAGACCTTTTACCAAGAGCGCTAGTAGACACCTGGTTTTGCTAAATTATCAATATTTGTGATGATAACAAAAGTTACAAATGATCATCATCTCAAAGGAGCGAACATACAAGGAGACAGGTCTGAAGGGAACACTTTAGAAAGGCTCAAGTACTTAATAACGTTTAGTATTCTTTGATGTACCATGTTCTTGTTATCCATTTTCCTCTGTAACCTAGAAAATAGAAGAGGCCTGGAATTCACTACTCAAATCATCATAATGCACTTAATTTGATTCATTCCTGTATACATTCATATTATGTCCAGAGTCATCCTTGTAATTTTAGAACATTAATATTCTTCAAAGAAATCTGCCCCTCACCGTGAGTGACTGGCTGGGGTTAATGGCCCTTGGCACAGCTCTTCCTAGTTGGTCATTAATCTGCAGGAAATGCCCTGTGCCTTAATTGTTATTGCTTAATTAGCAACCTCTTCTATCTAAACAAGTGACATATGACCTGAAATAACAATGTACGCAACAACAGTCATTTTCTCTGGGTGTTTGAGCTACGCCATAGGCAGATTCTATGCAAGTAAAGCAAGGCATGGGAAGTACATAACTGTTTAAATAACCTGGGATGTGACACTAAAATAACATTTGCAGATATGATCATTAATAAATGTATTTTCTTAGATTTCTAGGATGTCACTAGTTTAAATCAGTGACTAATGTGATGCCTAAAATTTAAAATGAGAAAGGCTGAGTTTGCCTTATTTCTCAGACAATTTAGTATTCCATATTTCTAATCAATACTGCCATTGTATTTTCAGTCTATCAGTGGTTAGCCATGGTTTTAATCACTGCAGGTTCTGTATAAATGCACACACACAAACCCAGGGCACATTCCTACAAGGCATATAAACTCACACTTTTGCTTAGAGCCTGGGTCACAATAATG